ATTAATGGTTCACTAGAGACCATAAAGACCAAGAAATCTAAATTATTCAGAGAGAATAATTCAGATTATTCTGCCCATGGAGATACTGGGCAGACAATACGTGGGCATAGCTCTTCCCCAAAACACTAAAGCTTAGGTGGACAATGTTGCAGTATTACCTGAACTAAAGACTCAAACCAAGTAGCAACACAGAGGACAGTAGCTCTCCCAGTTTTCCACAGGAACAAATGGATCATCATAAAGGCTAAGAACAGCATGGCATCAGCAGCTAAACATTTGAGTATGCAGCTCATAGCACCCGAACAGCAATTCTATGGTAAAACTGCCACCAAACTAAAGTTTGTAGGCAGAAAGAAGCACCAGTAGACAGAATTGAGCAGAGCAGCCAAGACGTATCTTGCCAAGCACAGAATACTTAGTCAGGGCACCAACTAGTGTAACAGATTACAGAACATAAGCCAGCAAAAGACAACAGCCTCAGGAAGGAGTTAAACCAGAAAGTAAGCAACTGTTCAATTACCTCTACATGTGGTCTATTGCTACATTACTCTTTTTTATGGCACTCTTTCATGGGTGGTTTGACAACTAGACTGACATGCTGTACCACAGCTATACACAGTGTATGACAGACTAGAGCATTAGCCCATTTCTAGAGTATTTAATGCAGTTTTGTATCACGTTAGCATCTTTGCATGTCAGGCTTTCCACTTGCCTACCTTCCACCAGCTCTTAGAGCCAGCCACTAGCCCTCTTGTTTTTTATGAGCTACTGAGAGGACAAAAGCCTCCTCGGAGTGCTGGCTTGGTGCTTAATTATATCGGAAATAAAGACAGAGTTCCTACTTTTCCTGCTTTGGGTGGCTATGGCTCACCTAATCTCTGAATAAAACTGTGAATCAGCTGCCTCAGTATTATTGGATGAAAGTTCTATACAATTCCAAAACCAGTATAAATTTGCCTATGGTACAGATATTTCATCTTCACTGGGAAATTTTTGCTCTAACACAGATAATCTGAGAGAATAAGTCACAAGTTTTTAATGGCCTATTTCTAACATGATGCATACCTCAGTCCCAAGAATTTAGCTGTAAGGATGTAGCCTAGACCACAAGTTACAAGGCAGACAGCACGTTAAGATCTGTGTTCTTACACTCTCTGAACAATTCACTTTTAAGCACAAGTTTGTCAAGAGTTGCAAATAGTACTGATTGTCACATGGAATTATTAAAGAAAAGTGTTAACTGGATTTTTTTCCCCAGCCATTTTGTGTCTTCTATGACAAACTGTTTATAGTAAAATGAGGTATTTCTAATTTATTTAGAGACTGATGACACTTAAGAAATTCAGAAAAATAGCAACTCTAAGAATCAGGTAAGGAGAAACTCACAGAAAATTGACAACCTTTCCCTAAGACTTTTTTTTTTTTTTTATATCCTGTGCATAAACTTTAAGAAGTTGTTAAACAAAACCAGAAAGCAACTGAAGTAATCCCACCAATTTAACACCACCCTTTCAGACATCTCCCCTCTGTTATGTCTCCACACTACAGGATGTTGAAGGAGTACTGAAGTCTTACCAGAGTCGCATTCCAGTTTGGTTCGATTCAAATCAATGCCATCGTCCACAAACTGACAAATGGAAAACAGTCTGCAGCCTCGCTGGCACGCATACAGTTCCTCTTCCTGGGAAGGCACAAGAAAAGGCTTGTATCCCTCCATTCAAGAATAAATTGTCAGAAAACAAACAATTTCATTTTTTTTTCAGTTGCTATAAAAAACCACCCACCAGAGCACCATCCTCCTTCCCTCCACTAGACCTAGAAGGCAGCTAAAGGCGACACCCTGGACCATCTGAAATAAAACCAAGCTGCAGCTCTTTAACACTGTAGCACAAGTTACAACACAGTAACACTACTGATTTATTTCAAACAGAGCTCCTTATTCTGTGGTAGGGCAGACCTGAAACAGCATCCTGGGCTGCATCTAAAGATCCATGCCCAGCAAGATGAGGGAGGTGCTTCTGCCCCTCTACTCTGCTCTCGTGAGACCCCACCTGGAGTACTGCATCCAGCTCTGGGGCCCCCAGCACAGGAAGGACATGGACCTGCTGGAGCAAGTCCAGAGGAGGGCCATGAAGATGATCAGAGGGCTGGAGCGGAGCACCTCTGCTGTGAGAACAGGCTGAGAGACTTGGGGTTGTTGAGCCTGGAGAAGAGAAGGCTCTGGGGAGACCTTACAGTAGCCTTCCAGTACCTAAAGGAGGCCTGGGGAGGGATTCCTTATCAAGGAGTGTAGTGATAGGATTAGTGGTAATGATTTTAAACTGAAGGAGAATAGATTTAGATTAGATATTATTACTGTCAGAGAGCTGAGACACTGGAACAGGCTGCTCAGAGAAGTTGTGGATGCCCCATCCCTGGAAGTGTTCAAGGCCAGGTTGGATAGGGCTTTGAGTAACCTGGTCTAGTGGGAGGTGTCCCTGCCCATGGCAGGGGGGTTGGAACTAGATGATATTTAAGGTCCCTTCCAACCCAAACCATTCTATGATTCTACGATTCCTTGCTGCAGCTATTAAAATTACTCAAATACAGAAAAATCTACACCTAGTACTTCTTCTGTTCACAATACCAAAAGGATGGATGTGCACTTTCCACATACAGTGCTCTCCACCATGCAGAGCTAAAGACGTCTATTATGTGAGCTCTCCTACTTATTATCACACCCTGTTCTGAATCAGACCCATCAAAACCACTAAGCACATAACCACTCAAATGATTGCAGCCAGTTGCTATACAGCTGGAAAATGGACTTTGAATTAATTTAACAAAAAACAAACTTACCACACCTTCTATATAACCTATTGTAAATGAACTGGGCATTGTTTGCCTCTGAGACCACAAGTTTACATGCTTTAAAGGCACAAAAGGAGAAAACTGTGAATGTAAATTAAAACTCAACCCTAACAACACTGACAAGGTGGCTAAGACAGTCATGCTGTTGCAGAAAACACGTTTGTAATTTGATATCCAGACAGAATTAGCTTTAGCAGACAGATTTCTGTGGCAGTCTTTCATGGAAGTCTCAATGAAGCTTGTCTTTCTTTCCACTGACAACTGAAACGATTTCCTTTAATTGAACTGGTAGTTTTGTGACAAACAGAACAAAGACTAAATATAAAGGAAGAGATGGATGTATTATTTGACAGATCCAACACCACACAACAAAGAATTCAAAAGTACAGTAAAAATCACAGAACTATCAGCTTTCCCTGAACTTGAAAGAGTCCTTTAATAGAAACACGAGCATTGTGCCAAAACAGCATGGAAATGCATTAGCGTAATGTTTAGTCCAAATTTCTCAGGTTTAGTTATTTCTCCTCGCTATCATCATACAAAGGCACCAAAACATGCCATAAATACAGAAGCGCGTTTACTTGTATCCCATTCAACTCCCTCTTACTTCCTGCTATGGAAATACCAGTATCAGCTACAGTCACAACATCCAATTTAAGTTTTGCAGGAAACAGACAAAGCCTTATTACCTAATATTGTCACCCCATACATTTGTCCGCTGCCCTCATATGAAATGTCAAAGATGGGGTATGAGCTCCCATCGTTCAGAGTTCAACCTGCTACATAGCTGCAGCTGATAAGTAAATCACCACGAAAAAAAAATCAGGAAAGATGAGATTTTGGTAATAGATTTTCCAAATTCAAACAAGTAGTTAAAGGTTTACAGAGCACTGAACCCACAGCACACTCTGGCTTACAAAATTAGATTCCCATTAGATACTATTTCAGTATTTAATCACGAGATGAAAGAAACTCCATGCAAGTGAATCACAACACAGGTTGAAGGTTCTGACAAGGTACTCATTTATCATCATTTATGCTTCATCCTTCAATATCCAAGTGTCACACTAGCGCCCTGACTCAGGATCTTTGGCCTGTCATGGGCACAGCACTGTTTTAACCCCCCAAAATATGGAGCAGCCTAAGTGAAAACACAGCTGCCTCTTTAGGCACAGGAGGAAAAAAAGCAGCAAACGCCCCCAAACCACCCAGCACTAACAAAGCTACACTTTGAGCTCAGCATTTCTTTGGCAAGCTGCAGCCTAACCATCTATTTTCAAAATGAAGTATCTATCTTTAGAGAAGCCACTGCATCCCCTGCTTTGAGGGGAGGAAAATCTAAGCCGGATGAGAAACGCCCCAGCAGGACAGCAGCAGGCTGCTGACCGCACGGCGAGCATCAGCTTCCTTCACGTTTACGTTCACTTAAAGACACGTCCAGCATGGCTTGAGAAAACATGCACGGGGACGTGCCTCGACAAGGACTCCTGCCCGAGAAAATCCCGGCGGTGTCCTGTCACCCTGGAGCACACGAAAGGGCTGGGGGGGAAGGGGGGGGTGTGTGGAGAGGGGCAAGCGACAGGCCAGGGGACGGGGAGGCCGGGGCCGTGCCGCCCGCCAGCCCCTCAGCACGGCTCCCGGGGTGGTGTGTGTGTGTGTGTGTGGGGGGAAGACCGAGCCCGCCGAGGTGCCCGCCCCGCCGCCGCTTCGGGGAGCCGTGAGGCAGAGCCCGCCCGTACCTTGGGGTAGGTGTGCAGGGAGTAGGTCAGCTGGCAGGCGCGGTGACACGACGCCGTGTTGCCCAGCACGGAGTCAAAGGCCTCGGACGAGGCGGCGGGCAAAGGCCCGGCCGCCCGAGCGCTGATACTACTACTGCTGCCGCCGCCGCCCGCCAGGAGCGCCAGGGCGAGAGGCAGGCAGAGGAGGCCGCCCCGCCGCGCCGCCATCTTCCTCCTCCCCGCTGACAGGAGCGAGCGCCGGCGTACTCTCGCGAGATTAAGACCCTCTCTTCCTCCTCCTCCTCCGCGCGGTGCCTGCCGGGAGGTGTAGTCCGTGCCGCGGGGCGGCCCCAGCCACTCCGTAGGGCTTCACTTCCGGCGGGAACTACCCGGCGGAAAGGGCGGGGCAGCCGCTTCCGGGAGGGCGGGAGAATGGACCGGTTCGTGGGGCGCAGGGCCCGCTGTCCGGAGAGCCCCCGCCGGGCCGCGCCAGCCCCCCGCGCCTACCGGCAGGCTACTCTCGAGTCCCTCAAGGCAGGTCACCGGTGTTTGGGGGGGCGAGGGAGGGGTAGCACGGCTCGGCCCGGCCTCCCGGGCCTGAGGCGGGGGGGGGCCGCACCCCGCGGCACCCGCTGTTGCTGCGGGGGCTGCTGCCTTCGAGGGCACAGGGTGAGGCCTTCCCCCGGCCTTGCGCTGGGGCAGGACCGCGCTGTTCCCCAGGGGCTGTGTGCGAGGTTGGCGGGAGCACCCCGGGAGGAGCTAGGCTGGCCCTGAGGCACCTCGGATGGAAGAAGGGGTGTCAGGCCTTCGGCTGGCCGCCATCCTGCCTCTGCACAGAGCCAAACAGCGTGGAGTGACAGCGGGAGGAACGTCGTGTAAATCCCAAACTGATGTGCTTTATCATCAGGGAAGGTGTTAATCCCAGCACACCTTGCCAGCAGTCACTCTGTGCCCGCCTAGGGATGCACCTGTGGTTCCAGTTCCTCACGGAAATCTTTGCAGTGTCGAGGTGGCATCCTCACAGAACAGGGAAGCGAAGTTAGAAAGGTGCAGAGAGCTCTACTGCATTGAAAGGGGTTTCCTAAACCGAGATGGTTTATAACTTGGCTCCTTCCTGCCCATTTGGGGTGGTGTAGGGTCAGGCTGGGCACACAATTCAAGCACAGCCAGGTGACAGCACCAGCTTCAATATTGCCAGCTGGCTCACTTCTCTTCCCAGCAAGGAGACCCCTTCAGTCGGTTGCATGGTGGTCCTGCGTGAGACCTGCGTAAGAGCTGAGCCCCTCTTTGCCACCCGTTTGTGGAAACAGAACAGGAAAACATTTGCTGCACCAAAGTGCTTAATAATGTAAGGCAGAAAGCAAAAGACTGGCGCATAAAGCACCCCAGCTGTCTGACTATTGCTAACTCTTTGTAAGATGCCTCACATCTGAAAGATGAGACCTGCACTCTTTGCAGCCTGTTCTGTCAAGGTCTGTGGCAAAAGCAGGGCAAAAACCACTGCAAATATCCGGTGTACTTGAGTTTGCGTTCATGTTCCCTAATGCTTTGTTTCTCTCCCTGCTGGCATTATTTTAAATTTAAAGGCAATCTGAGCAGGATTCAGATTCTGCCAGGCTGCTAAAGATAATTAGCTTCCTCCTTCTTAATCCCCTTTTCTAGAGAGAGACATTTATACAATGGATTCATTCAATTCAAAGCACTTCTCTTCTAGCAGACATTTGCTGTTACATGCCCAAAGTTTGGCAGACCAAGGTGAAGGATCTCGCTTTGCTTTCTCATTACTTCAGTCTTGATTAGCAGTAGGCTGCTAATCTCAAGCAAGTACCCATCATTCCAGGCCATCATGTATTCTGAGCTCTGGTTCATACGATAATCAATAATTCATGTGTTGATAACATCCCCATTAGCCAAGATGAAGCCAGTGTCCTTATTTATAATAAGAATATTCCGCTTTCCTAATGGCTTTTCTATTTTCCAGAGAGTTGTGGTTGTGGAAGACATAAAACGATGGAAGTCTATGCTTGAGCTTCCTGGGCAACCGAAAGAGAATCTGATCGAAGCTTTGGAGGAGCTGAAGAAGAAAATACCTTCCAAGGAAGTGTTAATTTCAACAAAAATAGGTACATCTTGTCTGAACTGGACTGTGAATATTAGACTGTCTTGTGTCTGCTTGGCTTGTCAGTACAAAAGAGACTAGCTTGCAAGCTTTTTAAGAAACGAGTGTAGCTGTCAATAAAAAATTGTTGATATCCAGCCTGCAGTTCTCAGAGCTTGTACTGAAAAAGTCAGCCATCCTTTAATTCCTCCCAGATTGCTTGCTTATTACCAAATACTGCATCAGCCCTTCTGTAGTCAAATTTTTGAAGAGCTCTTCTTGGGCACCTGTGTATTTTGTTCCTTCTCCTGCTGTCTGTCAGGGGCATGGCAGAGTGCTCTCTTGCCATCTGAGACGTGGCTCATCTATTTGACCTGGCTGAATGTTCTGAACGTGTGAGAAATTCTCCTCAGATTGTCCCAGAACTGCTTACTGCATCCTCATGCTGAGAAATCCCCAGCAGAGGGGCAGCTCCATGCCAATGACATATCCCGATGCCTGGCTCTTTTCCATTGGACTTGGGGGAGGGATAATGTGAGACCACATGGTCCCTGCCTTTCCTGTCTATGAAGAGGATCCTGGCACAAGAGACAGTGGTGCTTGCCTTTGTTTGCCATTGGAGCAGCTCAATCTCCATTCAAACAGCCCCCCTTGTCTTAGAAAAGGAGATGCGAGCTCCCCCTTTCCCCTTACTTCTGAATTGTCGCTTCATTTGCCATGTTCAGCTTATTCAGGCTTTTCCCGTGATTTTTTTCCCTGATGCCTGCCTGAACGCGGCTGGGCTGGAAGAGCCACCGAAGCCTAACAGTGACATCTCCTGGCCAACAGCGCTAGTGGTCAGAGACAAATACCCCGCTAGAAGAAGGTCCCTTTTGTCTCCTCTCAGAGGAAAGCCTCTTTTGCACTGGCAGGCCCTGTGGATTGGAAAGATTCTGCTTGGAGTCACTGTGGTGTTTGTGTGTTAAAATGCTATAGCCGTCACCAGCAACATCTGTTTCCTTAAAGGGGTTTTCAGTTTAAAATCAATATTCTTTGTAGGCTAATCTTGCAAGCTTTCACCAGATCTAGTATCTGTGTAGAAAATTAATGTAGCCCTGTATTACCTGTCGCTTCACACCTTGGTGACTTGGGAAGGTAATTTTCATATGTATTGGTCAATTCCTTGCTAGTGACTCAGGCAGAAAATCACTGCAGAAGTCAAGAATTGAGAACTTCGGGCTTAATTCCTAGTAATTATATATTTGTATCTGTATTGATGCTCTGGTTGTTTTGCTGACACTTCCTGAATTAAAAATGTGTGTGGCTCCTTTAGCACCGATGTGGTTTGACTGGTGTCCATTATAGTTTGTCCGCCTACCAAACCTGAAGGAACTGTTACTGTTTTCCAGGTCACACAGTGAATAAGATGCGGAAACATTCCGATCACGATGTGGCCAGCCTTGCCAAAGATATTTACACGGAGTGGCGAGCTTTCATCAAAGACCATTCAAACAAGCCCTCAATAGAGGTCAGGAGCGATCCCAAGACCGAGGCTTTCAGAAAGAACGCGCGGAAGCTGCTTTGTGAAGCCCTGGATCTAGAGGTAGCGTTCAGATCCGTTTGTTTTTGGCTCAAAGAGTTACTTCTTGTAAGAACAAGTTAAACAAACCTTTTTCAGCCGTAGCTACTGTAAAGCTAGTCCTGCCTGCAAAGTGGGGACGAGACCAGATGATCTGTTCCTATTTTCAGTGGTTTACTGTGTGTCCCTATTTATAAGTAGCTTTGTTTTCAAGGTTGTTAACCAAGTAACCGTGCTGATTGTGAGGTCTATTTGCTCTCATTTATATAACCAGCCAACAGAATAGTTGCGTGTCTACTGCAGTTGGGCTGTACAACAGAAGGAGGAAGTTATTAGAACATAAAGTTTTTCCTAATGCTTAACAGCTGTGAAAGCAACACTGGGACCTCTTGGTTGTTTCATATTTAAGTAATTAAACATTTGTAAATTTAAATCTATTGCAAAAACAGAGAGGCAAGGTTGACAGTATATAAAGTGGTGATAAATACCAGATCCCTCAGGTATCTTTAAGTAAATGAACAGGGTTTTGCTGTAAGGCTTAATGACTAGTTTGCTTGGTCTATGAAATGCCATAATAATTATCCTTTTTAATTTATTCATTAATTATCCTTTAAATGGCAAGTCAAGCGATAAGCACTCAAGAGTTTCGAAGCTATGTGCTTGCTAGCTATGAGAACAACCTCTCCAACTTGCAGTCTGTCTGGACTGAGGCAGCACAAAAGGATAGTTTGCTGTGGGAACGCCTCAGAAAGGTGGGAGCTCACCTTTGCCAGGCCACTGGGTCAGGCTTAGTTCTTGGAAAGCACATCTATGCATGGTGATAAGACTGGTAGTAAAGTCTGAACCTGGTGGACATAAAGGCTATGGTACCACCTTAAAACAACAAGAATTGGGTAAAGCAGAATTGCCTCTGAACAGGACTCGCCTGAAAGCAAAGCAAGGAAAAATACCCTTCTACCTTGCAGCTACCACCATATGTGCAAGTGGAGCTTACAGCAGCAGGTGAACAGCATATATAGGCAGGGGAGCCACAGAGGTCCAGCACATGGGGAGCAGGGACACCTGAGAGGCTGACAAAAAGGAGAAGGGAAGGTGGGGCTGAATGTATCCCGGGCCTTCTAGTGCTGCCCAACAGGGGGGGGGGCAATTTGGCGATGAGTAGCAAAACCAGAATGGGCAAAGGACTTGGACGAATACTGCTTGGCATACTGGAATCTACTGTATGCAAAGCATGGGAGATTCCCCATCACAAAAGGCAGAAGTGAAATTAAAACCATTTCTTGATGGGTGGGGGATTTTTTTGTCCTAAGCTGTGCTAAATTACAGGTTTTGGCACATGTTGAAGCAATAACTATATAATTAACATTTAGCAAATCCCTTTCTGCATTCTTAATTACACCTCCTTCTACACACTGAGAGCCCACATTTCCCTTTATAGCACCAGGCAGAGTTGCCAAGTGTTTGGCATGTCTTAGAGTTGCTGTTGGAATCAAGTTTAAAATAGTATCCAAGGTACCTTGTATCAGCAAGATCAAAAGTGAGCTTTATGGAGACAGTACAACATCGCTTATAATTGCGGTTGAGCTTCATACCCAAAGCTAGCTGCAGATTAGTTCCCTGTTGTGATAGCAAAGTACTGCCACCCAGCTGGAGATGTGGATATCTTCCCTGCTACTGACCACGTTGCCTTGTTCCTTAATTGCTAGGGTGGAATTAAATTGCTCTTCCTGTTACACTTGTGATGGGAAGTAGATTTCCTTGAATCTAAGCTGATTAATGAAGAAACACTGAGAAGCACCAAACTCCAATTTCAATCAGTTGGTCTCCTTATTAAATGTAAAGATCTAATTTTATACTTTGCTGTTTTCAGATTGATCACCCACTGGCTGAAAATATTGAGCGAGAAGCTTTTCACCTCTCTTCCCGTCTCATTAGCGCACCGTATCGCAGAATGGTGCGAGCTCTTGTCTTCTCATTAAAGCACAAACCTGAAATCCGAGCAGAAGTGAAGACCGGCACGCTCACTGTCCGCACGTTTGTACAGAGTCATAAAAAGTGAGGTGTCATGCTTGATCCTGAGTGAGAACTTCATGTGCCTACATCTTTGTGGAACTGGGAGCCCTTTCTGTCGTGAAGGGAGTGCAGAAGTGCTGACAGTGTGACTCACTTGGCACCACTCTATGAACAAGGCTGCTGGAGACAAGAACTACTAATGATGAAAATGGTGCTGTAAATCTGACTTGGTAGAAATCCATGTGGGCTTGTTGCAAGAACAGTTTCTTCTACTCTGCTGTATATTTTCCTGCTACAAAACCATCCTTGCTGACTCACCTGCTTCTCACTTCTGCCTGTTTGTCATACCTCAGTTGAGCTCCATCCCTGATGTGGATCTTCAGGTGTAATCAGCTGAATCACTTAAAGGAGCACCTCTGTGCTATGCTGGTAGGAAATACTGGGAATTCAGGATAATTGGTCCATGGGAGGAGATTCCTAGTGGATAACTGCAAACTCTAGTTAACCCTAAATCAGCCACGTCTGCTGCAGCTGGGCCCTGCCTGTGCCAAGAGCTAGCTGTTTTGCTGAGCCAGGTGATTTCCCTTTGCTGCCTTTCAGAGCTGGATGCAAAATGGGTTTCAATAGCTTGCTAGCCACCAGTCCGTAGGCTCAGTCATCCTGCAATTGTGGGCGTATTCTAAAGCCCTGGGGTGAAAATGGAAACACCCTGGAGTATAGGTGCTATCTAATGCCTCTGCTGTTTAATGAACAGCTCACTCAGATTTCCATACCTCACTCATGATTTAAATGTGGTGCTTGTTCTTACTGTAATGTGAAAAAAAAGACATGAAATGAATTTTCTAAATAAAATTATGTTTTAAGCAAAATGCTCCTTTAAAAGGCTTTTTTCCTCCAAAAGCAACATGGTTCAGAATGATTGTGTGAACAAATTTAAGCAACAAACTATTGCTTTAATTCCTAGTTCTTAAAGACTGGAAATCTTGCCTGTCATATTTGTTCTGATTTCTTTAGTGCCACAAGTCATCTTGTTCTCCATAAGCTCCTATTAAAGCTGTGACAGGCACAGTGCTTCTCTGCTGGTAGGTAATAAAGTGCTCTCTGTTCTGTGTGTGTGTACATACACAAGGGACTGGTCACAAACGTTTTCCTGAGTTATCAGGGTAGACAGAACCAGATACAGGGATGAGGGAAACCTGTCTATTCACGGTCATGGGAATTGAAGTCTTGATATACCATAAGGAAGTGTCTTTTGATCAGTTGTGGTCAGCACTTATTTCAGAAGAGTCACTTAAGGACAAATAATGCAGTGGGAAAACTACGAATTAGTCTTCGTTCAGATCTTCACATGACTGAATGTCATTATGTAGACCTGCTAAATACTTTTTTCTTCTGTGAACACCAGAAGCTAAAGAAACACCCAAAACTTACCTGAGGTGTTGAACTCAAATTTAATTAGATAACTGCAGGTTCTTTTAAAAACATCTAAACCCTGTCTTGTTTGCTTGGGCCAGTGCAAGACCGTTTTGTTGGGGTTGTTTTCGTACACATCGTGAAGGTATCTTCAAACAGCTGGCTGCTCTGAAAACAGTGATGCTCTGGTGTACAAACATTTCATTTGTAGAAAGTTAAGGTTAGGTGTGTTGGAGACGGTATGAGACAAACTGGCAGATACATAGGTGGTGGCTATATGGATAATGTGTCAATGAAGACTTAACACTTGTTGACCAGGCTGCAGCAAGAGATGTGAAAACCCTCTATTTCTTACAAGTAATCGGCTCCATTTCCCACTTAAATAACTTCAAACTGCACAGCTGTAATTGAATTCATGTATCCTGGACTATCATGGAAGGAGTTTGGGATCAATGAACTTTTGCTTCCAGAGCTGCAGTGCCAAGACCTGCAGTATTTATTTTCAGCTTTCTGTTCCTGGTGCTGGGCTGTGTTTTCTCTTTAGGTAACGTGTGAGAAGCAACAGTCCACCAAATGAGGAAGTTATGTTCTAATGAATGCAGGGCCAGAGAAGTTTCCCATACAGGTCAGGCACAGCTGGAGAACTCTGGCTTATCTGAACACTGCCAGTTTACACTGTGCTGTGCATTGGTTTGCAAGACAGGTCCAGGAATCGCCTACATTTTTTGGGATACACAGTGCGGCTAACAACTGAGGACAATTGCTGTCTGAAAGTGAATTTCTCTATAGTGATGGCAGTTCTACTCTGAAAACCGCAACTTGGTGAGATCCACTTTTGTTTTTACGGTTTAGCCCTGGGAACCAACTGAGAGACGGAAAAGTGATGTGAATGATTCTTTCCCCACTTATTAATAAATAGTCCTGTGGAAGGGCTGCCATTCATGACACAGCACTATAAAATTTAAAAGCAAGAGCAACATAGATACAAAGAAGGACCTGCGTGGTCCAGAGTACCCCTGTGTTTTTTGTAATTTGTGGAGAAATGGGAAGAAGGTGGGGAATGCCAGCCTTGTCCTCAAGGTGTGTTTAGAAAAAAAGTAAAACTACATCCTGAGCACCTCTCCTTCGTGCATCCCTTTTGCAGTGGTGCAAGCCAAAAGAGATACCAGCTACTGTCAGCAGGCCTGTCTGAGATCCTTTCGCTGTGATCTTACAGGCTGTCCAAGCATCACCTGGGCTTAGCACGGGACAGCCAGAGCCTCCCCAAGTCCACAGGCAGCGTGGAACAACCTAGAGGTACATGTGAGCTATTCTGCTCCATACAAACTACAAGCTCAGGCTGTCCTAGGCCTTCAGACTCTGTTTTGGGATATAAGCAAAGCTCTGCCAGACCCATCCCTTCCAGGTGACTTTTTCCATGCCCTTTCTTGGTCCCTGACACCTTCCTTTTCTGAGCAGCCTTCAGGAAAGAGAGACTTTTTAAAATCTGTTTTGGATACCTTCAGTTCTTTAGGGCTTGCATTGCAGAGGTTTTCTTTTACTTCATTCTCAATACGTGCCAAATATTTTTCAGAGAATCATAGAATGGTTTAGGTTGGAAGGGACCTTAAAGATCATATCGTTCCAACCCCCCTGCCCTGGGCAGGGACACCTCCCACCAGCCCAGATCACTCAAAGCCCCATCCAACCTGGCCTTGAACACCTCCAGGGATGGGGCAGCCACAGCTTCTCTGGGCAACCTGGGCCAGGGGCTCATCACCCTCATCATGAAAAATTTCTTCCTAATATCTAATCTAAATCTCCCCTCTTCCAGTTTAAAACCATTACCCCTCGTCCTGTCACTACACTCCCTGATAAAGGGTCCCTCCCCAGCTCTCCTGTAGCCCCTTTAGGTACTGGAAGGGGCTATAAGGTCTTCCTGGAGCCTTCTCTTCTCCAGACTGAACAACCCCAACTATTTCAGCCTGTCTCTATAGCAGAGGTGCTTCAGCCCTCTGATCATCTTTGTGGCCTCCTCTGGACCTGCTCCAACTGGTCCATGTCCTTCTTATGCTGGGAACCCCAGAGCTGGACACAGTACTCCAGGTGGGGTCTCAAGAGAGTGGAGTAGAGGGGCAGAAAGGGTGATGCTGAGTTTTCCCAAAGGGTGATGCTGAATGTGACAACAGGATACTCGATACCTGACAGTAATTTTGTTTTTAATTACTCTGTAAAGACCAGATTCCCCCCTTGGACCAATCTTACCTGCACACCTGCGTTTATTTATGCCTTAGGTTACCAACTGAATCCGTTTGCTACTCCTTAGTTTGTCCTTTTCTCTCTGGAGCGATGCAGCCAGAGGGAAGGCTGGAGCCATGCAGCTCGTGGATAAAGCAGGAGGCCAGAGATGGCCGGTTCCCAGTGCTGTGATCCGTTCACTAGCTGTTTTTCATGTGACCTCTGGAAAGCCCATAAAATAGAGGATCTGGAAGGGCACAGGCACCTGAACCCTGCAGAGTGCATCGCTCCCAAGGCTGGCCTGGCACTGAAACATCTGATCACCTATAGATTGCCTGTGGCAAACCCACTCACAGGGGGTCCTGCAGGACCTTCACTAGCTTGGGTTCCCCTGCTACATGGGTTACACATCGGGCTGGAGGAAGAAAGGGCCTCTCAGCATCCTAAGGTTTGGCTTCACCGGCCCAGACATGCATTTGTCCCGAATTCTGCTCTTTCTCCTCCGGTTTTCCTTGGCAACTGCTGTGTGGTGCAGACCAGCCACAGGGTACTGGTAAGACGCCTTACAAGGGCAGGGACTCTCGACAAGCTGCTGTCTTCACGCTGGGGAAACCCTTTTAGATTAAAAGGGAGGATGAAAGGGCTGAGCAGTGGCTCCCTTGTGCTTGGTTTCTCTGGCGCAGTGCCTTTGAAATAGCTGGTTCCCTTTTTACAGGGGAAACGTTAAATGAAGGAGGCTCCCAACCTGGAGAAAAGGTTCTTCTTTCTTTCCCTTGTCTGACCAGATTAAGCTGAGCCCACAGATGTCTTTCAACAAAAGAGTACATAAAGCCAAAAGACCTAAAGAGACCTGCTGCACCCAGCAAAGACAGGAGGGAAGGACCTTCTGGAGGTGAGTGACATCTCCTGCTCTCCTCCCCTGCCTGTGCTGCTGGTGCTTGGGGAGTACAGGGTGGGCCTGGAGCAGCTCTGGGAGGGATGGAGGGGGAATTCACCCCTGTCAGAGCTGACTTCTGATGAGTAAGTTTGGGAAGGCACCAGGTGAGAGCTTGCTCCATTCCGCATCAGCAGGCACGGCTCAGGATAGCTTTGTCCTGCTGCAAATGACTTGGGCGACAGAAGACAGGAGTAGACAAGACCCTCCCTGTCCTTCAGAAAAAGAAAGTGCACAGCAGCTCACCATTTTTCATCTTTTAAGAGGCTCTTCAAAGGTTTCTCCACAAAGAACCCAAACTTTCAGATCTTATTTTCTTTGCTGGCAGAACTGTAATATGAAGGGTTTGCTAGGCTGGCCCCGCATTAAGAGATGTTAAGGCAAGGAGAAGCCAAAGATGTCTTTTGGAGCCCTGATCATTTGAAGTAGGCTCCAGGAACTTTCCTCCCAGGGTATGTTGGCACACCACGGGGCAGGAGTGTAAGATGGAGCAGAAACTGGGGACTGGAGCAGAGGAAGGATAGAGGAAAGGAGAGAAGAGGTAGAGGGAGGGGAACATGCTGGGGAGTTCCCCAGCCTGGTGGACCACAGCTG